AAATAGAACAACAGTGGTGGTGGCGGTGAGCTTGGGGGGCCTTTAGTGTATCGCTACAGTCATGGGTATGTTCCAGGAACCTAGATTTCTTCAGTCACCTGTACAAAAAAATTTTTTTAATGTGGAGTTGATGACCATTCAGTGTCAGGCACAGAGAAGAATGGCTAACATGTTTTCATAATATTGGTGGTGGTTTGAGGATGAGGAAAATATGGATAGCTAAACTGACATTGAAACCTAGTCCGGATGTGTGTTATGCTGTGTTGTACGTTGTGGTTTTCAAAAGATTAGGAAGCCCTTCCCTGCCCCACTTGTAGCCAGTAACCTCTTTATCTCACTCTGTTGGCAGCTGGCAGCGCAGATCACGCATTTTCGTAGATCACGTCAGGAGATAATAGAAGCAGTGAGGTGTGTTGTCTCGTGTGAAGAGAATGGAGTGGCTGTTAGGGGAAAACTGCTCTTTGGCACAGGTTTTCAAGCCGCATGTTCTTTCCTCACCATGAAGTGACTCAGCAGTGTGGGCCCTGGTGTTGCCTCTCCCTTTCCTCCCCCTGACGCCGATGAAGCATCAAGTCGAATCCCATTTGAAGGGAGTGTTCTGACTGGAACTGATTCTAGCCGTGTGTGTTATGTCCTGTTCCTGTTGAGACACGGAGACGGGTGGAGTGGGGGAGAGACATGTGTGCTGTGACTAGCTTGCCCAGTCCCTGCTCCCCAGAAACTCAGGCCCCATCTGGGGTGACTGGGAACTTAAGAAACTTGAGACGGGACGGGAGGACCTCCGAGTTTCTGCTCTGGGAATAGAAGTGACTGGGGGGCTGTAAATCGCTCCGGGGGCTGTAAATCGATCCGCGGCCTGAGAATGATTCCCTTGAGAGGAAGTGTTTTCTGGGGGTGTACTTGAAACTTGTCGGGAAGGGGGTGCCCTTCTTTTGGGGGACATTTCTTTTATCCAATTGGAAGTCTGAAAGATGTTTAGACTTATAGTACCCAGAGTTGGTGTTGGTTGACTACTGTTTCTTTAGATCCACTTGAAATGGGAATCAGACCGATCACTGGTAAGTTCTTCCACCTGTTTAGGCTGACAGCCATATGCGCTTCCTTCCCTCTGAGGAAAGAGCCAGTGAGGAAAGAACCTATAGACTCTAGAGCAGGGGTTCTCAACCTGTGGGTCGCGACCCCTTTGGCGGTCGAAGACCCTTTCACAGGGGTTGCCTAAGACCATCCTGCATATCAGATATTTATATTACGATTCATAATAGTAGCAACATTACAGTTATGAAGTAGCAACGAAAATAATTTTATGGTTGGGTCACAACATGAGGAACTGTATTTAAAGGGCCAGAAGGTTGAGAACCGCTGCTCTAGAGAAAGGGTAAGTTGGCCAGAAGATGTGTGAGAGGGCTTACAGAGGATGTGCTGGGACTCTTGGGAGGTGCTATAGCACACTGCTTAGTAATTGACCTTGTCCAGCTTTCTAGCTTCTGATCGTCACCTTTTTGCTCAGTTGTTAAGTGTTAGCTAAGAAATAAGCTGACTATAATTTTTAAACATAAAAATTTGCGTGTTCCTAAAGAAGCAGTAAAATTCTGTGACAGAACCATTTGTGTTATCATTAATTTCACTGTGGGTCAGAGCACATCTACAGATTGGAAGGGACCATCTTTCCTTCCATCATCCTTCCTGGAATGGCACTGGGCACTTAGTTGGTGCCTACCAAACGTGCTGACTAAAAGAATATACTCCATGAGTATCATCCTGATCACCGTCCCTTGGCCAATGAGTCATAGTGGAATTTTGGTAGTTTTTCATTCTCTCTCATTCAAGGGCTAGAAGGCATCATTGGGTGGGACCTGGGAAGTTAGTATAACTAAGCTATTGAGCATCTGAGTAGCTAGATCCTGTGTTTGTGGAAGTAAACTTCTCAGTTTCTAATTAGCATCAACTGCATGAGTGGTACACAACCATTTGTCTTCTCTGGAGGCTTACAGCTCTGGCCGTGCCTGAGATCCCTTTATCTTGGTGAGTTCTGTCCAGCAAGCCTTTCTGCTCACTGTATATAGCACGTTAAATTGGCCTGAATTTAGTTAGTTCTGAAGGCACAGCCAGTGGACGCCTGTATTTGGAGAATGGGTCAATCTGACCTTCTAGTCTGTCTTAGATGTGGAAATAGTTCAAGAATGGATGCTGGTGTGTGTGGGGTGGTGGGTAAGGCTGTTTTATGGGGTGGTGAGTATCCAAACACAAAATAGTTCTGTAGCCGGACTTTTTGATTTTCACCCCCCACTTCCCCACCCTACATCACCTTTAGTCCTAGCATTTCCCTGCACATCTGGATTTGAAGAAACACTGAAGGACACCAATGAAGACTTCATGATTGGAAGAAATCGTGATAGTGGGAAGTAATCTAAACAGAACAACTTTGCAATCATCATTGGCTTCGATGCAATGAGGCCAACCCAGTTAGAAGCTGTTAGAGATCTGGTTTCACTAGCGAGAAAACCTGTGACGTCCCAAAATTGTTTTTGACAACAGTGTTTTATTTACACTGTGAGGGTGAACAACACTCCAGGAGGGATATGCCAAGGGAAAGAGAGCTCCTAGCTATGCAGCCAGTGGGGATACAGGTTCTCTGCCGCCTGGAGGTTTGGGGTGGGAGAGGAGCCGATGTCATCATGCCTCTTTAGAAGCAGTGAAAATATCAAAAAGCTACAAGATTAGACAGCCATCCATCCATGTTGTGACTTGAGTTAACATTCCGCACACTTCAAGGATGGACCGCATTCATCATTTAGGGGGTGGGGTTTGCACTGCTTTGTAAGCCGCTTGCCGCACAGTCTGATATTTTTAGGTGGGAAAGATTCGCTAAGCTTTAGGCGACTGGTGAACTCTATTAATACAAGGTGGATTATGACTGTTCAGGTCTTAGAGTGCTGAAGAAACGTGCTTCTATCTTGCCAAAGCTGCCCCTCTTTTTTATTAAAAAAACAAAACAAAAAAAAAACCCTGCTAATGTCACTGCAGTTCCCTCCCTCACCCCTGGTAGGTGGTGTCTGGGAACATACCCGGAACCTTTTGAAAAAAGATGCACAGGGGAGGAAGCCTTACATAACAGCCTGGCTGAGAGCAGCTTCCCAATAGGCTGCCGCGGGAGGAGCAACAAGAGGAGCACAGAGGCCGAGGGAGGACGGGCTGCCCCCGGGGAGTGTTCGGAAACCAATGATGGTCTCTTGACTGTGTTTTCTCCCTGCCACCAGAATAAGGGGTAAAAGTCATTACCTTGGTCCTGAATTAGTCTCGTCAGTAAAACTAGCTTTGCTGACTGCAGTCACGTGGACATGCAATGGGAAATCCTGTCCAGAAGGCACACGCTGAGCTGTGGCCACTTCAGTGAGGGGAGGTTTTGTATGTGTTTTGTTTTAAGAAAGGCAGTTGTGCCCTAGCCGGTGTGGCTCAGTGGGTAGAGCGCCGGCCTGCAGACTGAAGGGTCCCGGGTTTGATTCTGGTCAAGGGCACATGTCCGGGTTGCGGGCTCAATCCCCAGTAGGGGGCGTGCAGGAGGCAGCTGATTGATGATTCTCTCTCATCATTGATGTTTCTATCTCTCTCCTTCTCCCGTCCTCTCTGAAATCAATAAAAATATTTTTTAAAAAGGCAGTTGTGCTTTTGACATTTAAGCTATTTAAAGTCCATTTAAATTTAACCATGGAGAGGAGAGCTTACCCTGGGAGAGCTTACATTTCCAGACATGTTTGCTGAAGACTTAGCTTAATGGATTCTCCATGGGAACCTTTTCAGGTTTAGTCAGACTGGGAGGGAAATCCAACCCATTCTGCTTTCCAGGAGCTGAAGTTTAAAGAAAGGGTTTATCAGGGTGTGAATGGGAATTCAGGAGGAAGGTGTAAACCCCTTATAGAATAAAGTGTTTCATGCACTTGAGAAACAGCCATTAATTTGCCTATAAATAATGTTAATTATAAGCTATTTGCTGTTTATTAAAGCCAGTTCTCCAAGTATCTTTAAACAATGACCAAGTTCTGGTTTATTTCATTTAAGGGAGTTTTTAATGCAGCGTTTACCAAGTCATTATTTTCTCCTACCTTCAAATTAGTCCTAATTAGCTGGAATTGACTATGGTGTGTATGAGTGTTTTAATTTCTCTTTCATTAGAATAGTCTGGTATTTTACTCGATCTGGGAGGTCTGGGATACCTTGGCTTTGTGGAGGTTAGGTGTATGGTTGGCCTCTGACCCCAGTGCTCATCACCATCAAGCATCTCTCTCTCTTTTATTTTTAATATATTTTATTGATTTTTTACAGAGAGGAAGGGAGAGAGATAGAGAGTTAGAAACATCGATGAGAGAGAAACATCGATCAGCTGCCTCCTGCACATCTCCTACTGGGGATATGCCCGCAACCAAGGTACATGCCCTTGACCGGAATCGAACCTGGGACCTTTCAGTCCACAGGCTGACGCTCTATCCACTGAGCCAAACCGGTTTCGGCAGCATCTCTTCATGATTCTCTCCAAAGAGAAGACCATTGCTAACTTCAGGATAAGAATGTGTTACAAGAGAATATTCTGAAAACAAGCAGAAGCAATATGAGATTATGCCTGTTTTTGTTTTTGTTTTTATTGAGTTGGGAGGGCAGGGTAAAGGGTTTAATATGTCAAGGTTATAAGAGGAAAGAAAACTTCATGGAAAATGGGTAGGGAAATTTGTGAAATTGAACAGAAACCAAAAGAAGTTGGGTCTTTAGCCACCCCTCCCCCAAAAAACAATTTCTGCTGAAATAATTGGGCAGAGACAGTAATTAGCATTTGGGGAAGCATCAGAAGGTGGGGTGTCCTCCTGTCTGGCGGGGATGAGGGGGAGCTGCTGGCTTAGTAGTGGGAGCTACATGGTAACAGCTTTCAGGGAGGACAGTGTGTGGCCTTAAAAATGGAACCTTTCATAGAATCCTTGTAAGCTTGCAACCCTTTTGTCTTCCTCTTACAGCAAATCCAGTTTGCTGATGACATGCAGGAGTTCACCAAATTCCCCACCAAGACAGGCCGCCGCTCTCTGTCCAGGTCCATCTCTCAGTCCTCCACCGACAGCTACAGCTCAGGTAGGTGAGGACCTCAGGTGCTGCTCTCTCCTGTTCTGGAGCCGGAAGCAAGTTCTCTCCCAGGCGCTTATCTAGAATCTGCAAATTCCTCCTGTCAGGGCTGCCCTTCTGTGTGCTGAAAGCTGATCATTAGCGGTTGGGCAATGGGACTGTTCCCAGCCAGCCTTGTCGCTGGGGACGCTTTTGTCATCCTGAGGCTTTCTGCCCCAGCCTGTCTCGGTGTGTGGTCTGTGGCTGTGCCTGGCTGGTAGTTCTGGGCCGGTTCCCACTCCCACGTTCGTCTGTTCATCCGCCCACATTACCAAAGGAGAAAATCAATGGTATTTTGGCTGACAAAACTGGCCTTGAAAAGAGGTGTACTTTGAAAGCATAATTTCTGATCTTTATGTAAGATGTACCCTGCCTCCTGTCTTTCTCGTTCTTGTCTCCAAGACCGCTTGAGTTGTACCAGTGAAGATGAGTATTCCCGCTCCTTTCATTTACTGCGTTATCCTCTCTGCTGAAGTGTCCTCCCCGTTAACCTCTCGAGTGAGAAAGACTATGCGACTGTGGCTCCAGCTCTGTTTCTTCTTAGTTCTTCTCTCCTGACTTAGCCCCATGGAGGTGGTCCTTTTTAAAAATATATGTATGTTTTTATTGATTTTAGAGAGAGGAAGGGAGAGAGATAAATAGAAACAAACATTGATGAGCGAGTAACATCTATCGGCTGCCTCCTGCACGCCCCCTACTGGAGATTGAGCTCGAAACCCGAGCATGTGTCCTGACCAGGAATTGAACCAGTGACTTCTTGGTTCATGGATCAGTGCTCAACCACTGAGCAACACCAGCCGGGCTGTGGTCTTTTGTGCCCTTCTCACCTTTAGAGTGGGTACTAGAAGGTTAACTTAGAAAGGATGTAGAAGCTGAGGGTCTGTGTGCTGGAGGTACACAGCACTGGACGGTGCAAGGGGCCCCTCATTCAGGGCCTCCCCCCACCCCGCCCCGCCCTTGTGCACAACTTAGTATAAAAGCCCTTGTAAGATTGTCTTATCACTTTCGCCCATATTTGTGATTCTCAAAGTGTGGCCCTCTGAACAGCAGCAGCAGCACCTGGGAACTTGTTAGAAATGTCAGTTTTGGGTTCCACCTGAGACCTTCTGAAGGGGTTTCTGGTGGGGGGGGCCTCGCCAACTGTGATTTAACAAACCTTCCACAAGATTCATCAGAATGCTTTAGCTGCTTAAGTTTGAGATGGTAATCTATGGAAATAGCATTCCTTATGTGCCCTAAATTATTCTTCCATTTTGCCATGTCCAGTTCCCACTCAGGTGGAGACCAAGTAGCCGATGCTCTGGGATGCACTAGGCCTGTGCCAGATTGGGGTCCGTGGCTCCTCATCGCAGGCGCTCACGGCCAAGTATCATTGCGGTGGTGACAGGGCCTCGGCCCTGAAAGGTCGCAGCAGTTTCATTCCCCCATTTATCAGGCCCAGGGAGCAGATCTGGGAGCGAGGACCCAGTGGCTGCAATGAAGAGTCTTGGCCTAACTGAAGTGGGAGTCCTTGGGGGCCGCACTCTGTGGAGTTGGGGCCATTGAGGTTTCTCTCTTTCCTGGCTCTAGCTGCGTCCTACACAGACAGCTCTGATGATGAGGTCTCCCCCCGGGATAAGCAGCAAACCAACTCCAAGGGCAGCAGCAATTTCTGCGTGAAGAACATCAAGCAGGCAGAATTTGGACGCCGGGAGATTGAGATCGCAGAGCAAGGTAAGGGAAGGGAGTGGGCAGGGACCAGAAGCAGCCACTTGCTGGTCATCAGACCCACACACTTGAGGCTTGAAAGCTAACCTGAAAGTCTCGGGGGAAACCCAGTATCCTGGACCTCTGTACAGTCGCATCTCTGTACGGACCTTGAGCCTCAGGACTCTTGTCCTGGTCCTCCTGCTTCCTGTTCTCAGCATGTGGTCATCGACAGTAGTTTCTGTTCCCCCACCTCCCCTGTCTCCATGGCACCAAGTCCAGAGATCTGGTTGCAGCGTCAGCAAGTCTGGGCTCACTGCTGCGAGGTGGTTGGTTCTGCGGGATCTGCCCCAGCCGAGCTCTGAGCTCGGGGCCCAGATTTCCCAGAAGCAGCAGAGTGGGAGGGTTTTCAGCAGGATGTGGGGACCTAGGGCCTGGGTTGGTCTTCGGTCCTGAGCACCCTCTGCTGGAGCAAGAGTGAAAGTGACTGTCAAATCTTGGTTGCTGCATCCCACACCCAGTAAGGCCTCCTCACTCTTGTGTTGCTTTCCCACTGAAAGCCTGTTCTGTACTGGGAGGGAGTACGGAACCAGAGACTGAGCTGGGGTTAGACAGCATGGCAAGACAGAAGCCTGGGGCTCTGCGGGGGGCAGGCTTCTTCCTGGTGTGATGGGCATATGCAGGAGCCCAGGGCCACTGCCATGACGGCTGCCCTCTCCCAAGTGCATGATGACACTCACCCTCCGTTTGGTCAGTTTTGAGAATTTACTTCATTCTCTGCTCAGTCCTCTGCATAGAAGGCAGAAATCCCAAGTGATTGGATGACAACCCCCTCCCCCCCCCTTACCCCCCCCCCCCCCCCCCCCACTGATGTGTTGAAGCTGCCAGTTATCAGATCAGAACTCTGCTGAGTTTCTCTACCTTGTCTCGCGGTATCTCAGCAGATCCAGACCCGCCCCCGCTGTCGCTGGGCAGGAGTTGTGAGCCTGCCAGTGCAGACCTAGCTCAAATCCTCTGTTCTTTCACAGACATGTCTGCTCTGATTTCACTCAGGAAACGCGCTCAGGGGGAGAAGCCCTTGGCTGGTGCTAAAATAGTGGGCTGTACACACATCACAGCCCAGACTGCGGTGAGTTTGTTGGGAGAAAACAGAGGGACTTCTGATGAGGGGGGAATAACAACTTTTTATAAACTTCCTTTTCGTCCCAATCTATCCAGCCTCCAAATGCTATCCTAGTAGGCGGTTTACTCAGTAATGGGGCTTTCTACTCTGTATGGGTGCAGCCGACTTTCAGCAACCCTGAGTTAGGGAGATCGAGTTTTGCAAAAACAGGATTGATATAAAAGTGTTATTAAGACTTTTAGGAACATAGCTTTTGGGTAACGTTAGACACCAGTGTGCTGCCTCGCTGGATGACACCCTCGTGGCACTGTCGCTGCAGAGTTGCTGGGTAGGTTCTCTTCCATGCCCCGCCCGCCCTCGTCCTCACCCGGCTCCTGTGCGTCTCCGCAGGTGTTGATTGAGACGCTCTGTGCGCTGGGGGCCCAGTGCCGCTGGTCTGCCTGCAACATCTACTCCACGCAGAACGAAGTGGCTGCAGCACTGGCTGAGGCTGGTAAGTTTCAGCGTTTGTTGTTACTGTTATTACCAACTTGGCCTCCAAATAATTATGCAAACATAACTTTTATGTATCACAGTCGTCTCTACAGTGCCATGTCTGTCTAGGGGCTGTAAAATTTGGAGGATAATAAAAATATCAACAGGAAGAAAATGGATAATAAACTTAAGGTTCATGTCCATGATAGAATATTATATAGTCATTAACAGTGATTTTTGAAAAGACTAATTACATGGGGACGTGCCCAACTCTAATGTTAAATGAACGAGGAAGAATGTTAAAATGTACGAGCTCAGCAGGTCTCCTTTCACCCAGGGTCTCATCCCTTTAGGAGAACACGAGCAGTGCCTTCTCCATTGATAGCACGTTAGATAAGTTGGTGTTCACTGTCACTGTGGAAATATATGACCACTCATGAGTTCAGTTAAACATCAAATGATTGTTATTGTCAAAATGTTCAAAAGAAAATCACCGTGAAGTTTCTTTAAGGATCTCGCATCTCCCTAGGATGCTCAGAAAGCAACTTGATAACACTGTTGTTTGTCTTATTTACTCTTTTCTGGTGTTTATTGCAAAAAATTTAGGAGGTTCCAAAACAGAATAAAACACCATGATCCTGCTACCCAGACACAATTTGACCATTTAAAAAATTTTTCTATTCACTTTTTCCAGAGATGAACTAAATCTCAGTGTGCATGCAGTTTTATAACCCAACTATAACATTGTCAGAAGTGGTTTCCCACGTCCCTGAGAACTTGGACAGCGCCATTTGTCGTGCTCAGCCACGTGGACGAGGGGTTCTACTTCAGAGGCGCTGTTTTGACTTCGGCCCTTCCTAAGTTGTTTCCCTTCTAGCATAGTTTCTGTAGCCCTTCCAGAGCGTGATGTTGGTCTGGGACATGCCCCGAAGGAGCAGCAGCTGACCTGTGTCCTCTGTGCAGGCGTTGCAGTGTTCGCGTGGAAGGGCGAGTCGGAAGATGACTTCTGGTGGTGCATTGACCGCTGTGTGAACATGGACGGGTGGCAAGCCAACATGGTAATCATGCATGTTCATCCTACACTTGGACAAGACAGTTGTTGCCTTTTTTCCCTCAAAGCATGGTTCCCTGAGTATGTTTTGGAAATTTGGTCTGACACACTTACTTCGTTGCCAAGTGTTTAGCCTGCTACCTATTCAGAATGGGTCTGAGAACTGGTCTGAGTACTGACTGCACCGGTGGGGGCAGGGGAAGACTCGGCACGGCAGAATGAGACAGCAGGAAATGATGTGGCCCCCTGCGGAGTAGGAGTCTCATTTCTTCCTTCCGCCCCGACTCCTTTTGCATTGAAAGGGGCTATTTATTTCAAGACTCAGCTAAAAATGAGTGTGTGAATAGCCTAATACTCTTCACTAGAGTCCAGAACAAACTTAGGAACCCTTTTAACCATGTTACACCAACAAATTGTACTGCTTACTGTCCCAGCCTGCTCCCGGAGCTCGGAGCAGCGCTCTCCCAGCACGGGCAGGGCTCGCTCACTAGCGCAGAAAGTGGTTCGCAGGTCCCCCCAGCTCTAGCAGCCTGAATGCCCATAGAAGTCTTCTGGCTGTTCTGTAGATCCTGGATGATGGGGGAGACTTAACCCACTGGGTTTATAAGAAGTATCCAAACGTGTTTAAGAAGATCCGAGGCATTGTGGAAGAGAGCGTGACTGGTGTGCACAGGTAACAGACTGGAGTAGCCGCCCCGTGTCCTTGCTCAGCGAGTTCTCCTGGGCTCTCGGGCTGCAGGGCGTGTTTCAGACCTGTAGGTGTGGAGTTCTTACTTTGAAAAATCCAGGAGACCCTAAAAGGAAGTTATTCCAGGTTCTAGTTCACATTTTTCTCTCCCACTTATTCCACTGTGATTCTCAACCAGTGTTGGGAGGTAGGGAGTGAGTATGTCTTGAAAAACTGTATTCAATATTGTATTATAATTTCATATTTGAAATAGGAAAAAATTCTATTGTGAAACTGGATGTCAGATACGCTACAAAAAATAAAACTGGGCAAAATATTCTCGGCTTGTCAGAGTACCTAAAGATGCTCGGAAAAGCGTTCCCAGTTGGGGGCACGTGGCACGTTGCTCTCACGCACAAGGGAACCGAATCAGAATCTTTGATCATCTTTGTTTATGAGCAGTAGGCATGGTAAAGATTGAGAGGATGCTGCCTAAGGAAATATATCCCCTTTTACGGAAGGGAAGTAAATTTCTTCAGTTGAAAGGATTTTTTTTTCCTTTCCAAATAAAGGGGACGGAGG